ATCACCTCATTATCTAAAGTAAGCGTACAGGGTATTCAAACAAAAATTGTCAGTAGGAGTTGCCACTGTGGTAGTTGCTGCTGCTGCTGTTGTTGTTGCGCTTCCATAGTATTCAATAAGCTTGTTTATGGCTTAGACAGCAGTCACGCATTGCAACTAATATTGAGCACGCGTTTTAATTGAATTTCACGCGCTTTCATAAACTCAACGCATGCCGCCAACTCCGGTCGAGTTTTTATGACTCTCCCACTCAAGCGGAACGCTCCGAACTACAATTGCGATTTCTATTTCGAACTCAATTTCTATTTCGGTTTCACTTCGCCACGCAGACAATGCGACAGCAGGAGCAGCAGCAGCAACAGCAACAGCAGCAGCCACCCACAAACCAAACAGGCAATACATCCATCCATTCACATCCATCCACATCCATCCGTTTTCATTCACATTGAGAGCGTGTTTAATTGCGCGCACTTCTTGTTATTGCAATCGTAAAATCTTTTGTTATTGCCTTACAACAATTTGTTGTGTGTATTCAGTCCGTGCCAAATTGCATTGTAGTATATATGTATATATATATATCGTAGTATATATAAAAATAACAGTGACATCAGTGCGTATACGTAATGCGTGTTGTAAAAATAATTATCGGAAATTATATTGCTTTGCGTAGTTCATTACGAATTATTACCAAATACTGCTACGGCTCTTATCTGCCTGGAGCTGCCCCGCTGGCCCACTAGTTGGCTAATTATATTTAGTCTTTTCCTTTTAATTACACGCTGATAGCTATCGACTTTACAGCCACAAAACACCTATCAGAACTGAAGGAAAATCGTTTGAATCTGCCATAAATTAAATTTATGACTAGAAATTTTACCGATATCAGTTTTTCAATTAAACTATTATCTTTAGCGAACTTATGAATCAGAATACAAAAATATATTTTATTTTAAATATATACATGTTTAGCTATATCAATATTATTTATGCATCCAAACTTCTACTGATAAAGCTAAAGCAAAGTTTAAGTCCTAAATATTTCGGAATTAACTGTTAATTATGAACTGATATGACTGAGGTTTAAAATTATAATACGCCCGAAATCTCTGCTAAGCACATATATTTTTGTATACACTGAAGTCATTGAAAAGGGTTAGGCTGACTTTTTGAGCATGTATGTAACAGGTAGCTGGAGACGTAGCACACTCTATATAGATCCTAGATCTTGTTAACGAGCCAAGTATATTTGCAGCTTTTTATTAAATAATATTCCATATTTTTATCTATATAAGATTTTTTTATTATCGATAATAATCGATAATAATAATCAATTTTGCACACAGAGCTCAGAGCATCTCCTAGTCGAACACTCTGTCCCTCATTCTAATTTGTTTGAAATTTTAGCGATTCATGACCCATTTCAAAGTGTGACGAAGTCAGCCCACTATATTTTGTTGATAACTATAACTATTTTGCTGATAAAATTAAAATGTTTACAGTGCAATAAATCGTATTTTAATTGGCATGTAATAAAGCTTGAAAAGAAATATATTATTGCATTTTCTGGGCGTTGAATATTCATGGGGGATTCCAAATACGCAATAAAGTTATTTCAAATCTCAAATCTGTTCAAGTAATAAAATTTATTTATTTATACATTTTCATTAATCAATAAACAATGAACTAAATATGAGATTAAGACGGGAAGAAGTGCGTCAAGAGGCAAGTTTGATGAGCTGTGAGTGATTGTTATAGACAGCTGTAAGCCTTAAGATCTATGTCATTTGGCATAGTACGATGATCTAAATTTACTACTAGAAAACTCAATTATCGGAGCTAATGGACTAAATAGATAAACTTCGTAATCAATGTTACAAAGATTATAGTAAAACGTTCCCATATAGTCTAGCAAGGTTCATATAATAAACATTCGCAACATTCCATAGAAAATATTATCTTTGAAGAACATGTAATTCCTAGAATGCCACCGTCTAGCTTCTCGAGTGTTTCGTAGAATAGCCACCATGGGGAATACTTTATGTGCTATAAATATAAAGACAAAAGACAAAAACCAAAACAACGCAAAATTAATTATCGCAAAAAATGTATTGAAAATACTATCTCTAAATGATTGAATAAATCACCTGTTACTCACGGTTGCTTTAGGGTTTTTTAATTAGTGTAGTCAAACAATGAATTGGCAAAAGAAAAATGGCCATAAATTAATAGAAAGCTTATCAAAATTGTGGTTCACTTCACTGTGAATCAGCAAATGGTGACTCATCTTGCCATATGGTCAATTGAAGTGAACCTAAACTTTGGTATCCCTATTTATCATTAAGCCATTATACTTAGTTAGGTATATTTTATTGTTTTTTTGTTTTGCTTTTTCTTTTTGCCCTACTTAACAACCAATTACACTGCTGGTAGTGCCCTCTGAATGTCTGGCAATCCATCAGATGTTAACTCAACGTAACTCAATGTCGAGCAAAACGGCGCTGCAGTTGCCACGTCTTCATTTCCGCTGACAGCTCTTGAAAATGTCTGACTGGATGGCCCGAGGCACCCCATTGTGGTTGCTGCCCCACTCGTTATCGCTTAGTATGCCACGGAAGGCGTGGCATTTGCTTTTAAGTAAATAATATTAATCATACGCCCGGTGGGGCCGCGAGCAAACGAGCGCTCTGACATGCATCAAAAACAACGCGCGAGCTGCTGAAATTGGAAAATTGAAAATGCATTGTAAGCGAGGGGATGAAAAAGAGCTGGCATCGCGTAAAAATGGAAATGAATTACGCTCTTCATACTCTTAAAACCATTGGCAATGCATAAAGGGGCGAAATGTGTATGCAAATGCATATATAGCAGGCAATTGAAATGAAGCTAGACGGCTTATAACTAGATAGCATTGATAATTGATTGGCTCAAAGTGTTGAGTTGATCTAGATCTGTCTAGCTAGAATTCTATTTGTAAATTTGTCTGTATTATCTGTTAGTTCGACAACTAAACTGTAAACACAGATAAAGACATTCAATCGTCTGTACTGGGTCCTCATAAGAACAAAAGTATTTTCATTAATTATATTTCAACATCTGCTTCAGCTATCGATAACACCTTTTTATAGAAATATTCATTAGAATTCGCCATTAAGATCTCAAGTATTTATGACTTGAAAGTTCTCGGAGTGTATTTTAATTGCACTATAATATACTTTCCGATCTGTACTCCATATTTTATTACTAATTACAGGAATTCAAACTTTATAATTTTACCTTGTTATTCATTTTTTTTTTTTTATATTTTAAATTTAAAATTTTAAATTTTGT